ATTTTAGTTTCATTTTCTTTTTTTGGCAAAAAAAATATTAATAAGAAAATGATGATGATCATTAAGGGTTAAAAAATATGATGGTGGAAGAAATGAAAAATGCATTAAAGAATGGAAAAAAACATTACATTTTTTTTCCAGGGAAAATTTATGATTTTTACGGAATTTTTCCCCTGATTTTATCAATTCATCATCATCATCCACACAGACATCGTAATAATGTCAATATTTGAAGAATTTAACTACAGAATTTCCATATTTTCTTCGTGAATGAATGAAAGAATATTCTCAAATGTCACTTATAACCAGATTTGAATGAATCGGGAAAAAAACAATTAATTAAAATTGATTGAAATATGCATCTGGAGAATATATTCATTCATTCAGTTTTTTCAGAATCGATCAGCATAATCATTAGGATTTTATGCAAACCAAAGATGTGAAAACAGAAATTTCCATTTATTTTACTTTACAAAAAATTGACATATTTGGTTTCTCTCTGATGGTTAATCCGATCAAAATTACGAAAAAAAATTGGCAGAGGAGAAAATCAAACTTTCAACGTATGAAAAAATGGGGGAAAAATTTTGAATTTCTTTTTCTCGGGTTTTTTAAAAAAATCAAAACTTTTTTCTCTCTCTTTGTTTAACCGGGTTTTACGATGATGATAAAAATGAAAATTAAACAGAAAGTCGGAAAAACACCCATTAGACCAGGGAAAAAAACAACCAGGAAAGTTTTTTTTCGTTGACTTTTTTTGTTTGTTTGATAAGAGAGAACCTATGACAGATGATCTATTCATTCACACACACACATACAGATTTCGGCAAATGACATTTGATAGGAATATATAAAAAAAATTTGATTGATTGATCGATTTTTTTTCTTCCAAAAAAATTGATAAGAAATGGTATAATATTAATGATACTTTTACTGTATAAACTGGGCAAATTGAATACAATCAAATAAAAAAGAAAGATAATAAAATGAATGCAAGTGTCGTTGACAATTGTAAAATTGTTTTCACAAACTGATAACCGTATTTGCATCACGAATACAAAGATAAAAGTAATCGATCCAAAAATCAATTTCCAACACCAAAAAAAAAATGGGCTTGTTGAATGACCGGATCCACCATAATTCACACACACAAAGATTATTTTCATAATTCAATTCAATTCAATTCAATCAATCAATTGTGAAATGCTTCAAGCAAAATCTTTCTTTCTTTCTTTTTCGGCCAATTCAATTCATCATGGACATCGACAGTTGCAGAAATTATGAATAAAGTTTATGAATTATTTTTTTTACGTAATCTAATTGTATCAGCAATCGAAAAAAACTATGGATGATGATGAATCCAAATCGAGAGAGAGAGAGAGAGAAGTGAAATCGAGATATGAAATGAAATGATCCAAACGAAACATTTTTATTTATTTTAAAAACACACACACAATAAATTACTTTTTCTCTGTTCTGTTTTTTTTCTACATTCACAAAAACATTAATCAATCAAAGTCAAAAAAAGAATACGGTACGCGGTAATTCAAATGCACACACGTACCAATTTTTTTGTATTCGTAAGTTTTGATCCAAAGTTTGAATGATGATGATGATGATGGTTGATTCAAATGAATTTGCCTTTTGCCTCTTTTCTTTGGATATTTTTTTTCGATGATGGTGATGAGGGGGGGAAAAGAAACTTTTCCAAAAGTTTTTTTTTACCAATTAAATCCCTTTATTATTTGGAAAGTTTTTCGTTTTTGTTTGATTAAAAAAGTTTTAATTTCTTTTATTCTTTTTTGGTTGATTGCAGCATCAAATATCATTTCGCTATGCCACCACCACCACCACCACCGCTACCAGATGATGATGATGTAGCATCTTTTAAAGGCAAACAAAAAATCATATGGCCAGGACCAAAGGCGTTTATTGATAAATATCATCGATCCAAAAATGAAATGAAAAAAAAACATTGGCTATTATCAACCATCAAACCGATTCAATCATATCTCAAAGTCGAAAGAAGAAAATGAAATACCCCTGCCATTGAAATTGCAAATGATGACAATAGAATTGTGAAAATAGAAATTACTTGGCATAATATAAATGGTAATCAATCATTTCAAATGAATGAATGAATGAATGAAAATGGAGAATAATCGCGATAGTGTCGAAATAGCTGTTCTGGTCATATCAAAAACGATTTGAATCGTTTGAATTGAATAATATTTCCCATTCTCGATTACAAATGATGAATATCTTTGTTGCTGTGTGAAATATGGTGACAGCAGTAGCAGTAGTAAACATTTGATAAAATGAAAAAATTGAAATCGATCAATTGATCGATCCAAATCTTCTTTTTTTCTGTGAATGAAACAAAAAACTTCTGACAATTGTCACACACAGAGAGTATGGACATTACATAATGGCCAGGTGTTTTTTCTTTTCTTTTTTTCAGGTTGTAATCAACAACAACAACAACAACAAATTTTCTCACCTTGATTATTTACCGTCGTCGATCGATGACGACAACGATGAATTATTATTAATGATATTTTTGCTGGTTTGGGTAAGAAAGAAAAAAAAATATTGATATCATTTCCATTGGCACTTGAATTTCCTGTTTTTTTTGCAAAGTTTTTTTTTTGGTTTTTTAATCGAATCCTTCGAAAACAAACCAAAAATCAGGAGAAAAAAAACATCATCAATCGTCATTAAGAGTTTTGTATTTGAATATGACAACTTTGCAGCAATTTTTTTTGCTGCTGCTGATGGAAATTCATATTTAAATGACATATGCAATTGAATGAATGAATTGAAAATCCCGAAATCCCAAAAAGATCTTTAGGTCAATAAAAAATGATTCGTTTTTTGTTGCGGAAATTTTGAAATTTTAAAATTTTAAAATCATTTTATTTCAATGTTATTCAAATTCATCAATCAATATCATGTGTGTGTGTGTTTGGTTTAGTTTGTATTTTGATATTGTCTGTGTGTAAAGTGAATATGGATTTAAATTAACTATACTTTTTTTGAGGATTGTTTCCCCATTTACATGGTTTTTTTCTTTGGTGACTATATCGACGTTTGCATAATGTGTTAAATGTGAAATTGTTGTGTTAATAAATAGAGTGAGAGAGTAGAGAGCAGAGAATATTTTTGGCCAAAAAAAATGTATTTATAAATGAAGAAGAATTTCTCTTAATGAAATAAATGGATCAAGATTATAAGATATACATAGTGAGAGAGAGAAAGATGTTTTTTGTGTTTGGTTATGTTATGCATATGATAATGATGGTGACAATTGTTTTCGGTGGAAATATTTGTCGGAGAGAAAGAAGAAGGGGAAGAAAAGGGGAAAAAGTGGGAAATAAATCAATATTGTTATTAACTACAACCACTAATTATAATTGAATGAATAAAATAATTGTTCAGGTATGTGCAAAGGTAAACGGTTGTTCAACAGACAACAACAAGAATAAGAATGGTTATTAGTAAAGAATTGCAAAGAATTACGCGAAGAGAGAGAGAGAGAGANGCCAGGTGTTTTTTCTTTATTTTCTCTAACTTTAGCTTGTAATCAACAACAACAACAAATTTTCTCACCTTGATTATTTACCGTCGTCGATGACGACAGGGACAACACAACGATGAATTATTATTAATGATATTTTTGCTGGTTCGGGTAAGAGAAAGAAAAAAAATATTGATATCATTTCCATTGGCACTTGAATTTCCTGTTTTTTTTGCAAAGTTTTTTTTTGGTCGAATCCTTCAAAAACAAACCAAAAAATCAGGAAAAAAACATCATCAATCGTCATTAAGAGTTTTAGTTATATGACAACTTTGCAGCAATTTTTGCTGCTGCTGCTGCTGCTGATGGAAATTCATATTTAAATATGACATATGCAATTGAATGAATTGAATTGAATGAAAATCCCAAAATCCCAAAGATCTTTAGGTCAATAGAAAAATGATTCGTTTTTTGTTGCTGAAATTTTGGAAATTTTAAAATTTTAAAATCATTTTTTTTTATTTCAATGTTATTCAAATTCATCAATCAATATCATGTGTGTTTGGTTTGGTGTTTGTGTTAATGTTCTGTGTGTTTGTGTGTTTTGGTTTGCATTTTCATATCGCCGGTGAATATGGATTTAAATTAACTATACTGAGGATTTTTTTTCTGTTTCCTCATTTACATGGTTTTTTTTCTTTGGTGACTATATTGACGGTTGCATAATGTTTGAGGTGTTAAATGTAAAATTGTGTAAATAAATAGAGTGCAAAGAGAGAGTAGTATATTTTGCCAAAAAAAAAATTGTATTTATAAATGAAGAATTTCTTTCTGTAAATGAAAATGAAATGAATCAAGATCAGGATAAGATATACATAGTGAGAGTGAGAGAGAAAGAAAGATGTTTTTTTTTGTGTTTGGTTATGTTATGCATATAATAATAATGGTGACAATTTTTTACTTCGGTGGAAATATTTGTCGGAGAGAAGAAGAAGAAAAAGGGGAAGAAGGGGAAAATAAATCAATATTATGTTACTAACTACAACCACTAATTAAAATTGAATGAATAAAATAATAATTGTTCAGGTATGTGCAAAGGTAAACGGTTGTTCAACAAACAACAACAACAACAAGAATAAGAATGGTTATTAGTAAAGAATTGCAAAGAATTACGCGAAGAGAGAGAGAGAGAGAGAGAGAATCGTGTTTGGGGAGAAAGTTTTTCTGTTTTCATTATTGAATCGTCATCAAAAACAATCAAAAAAGATGCAAAATTTCAAAAAAATGAAAATGAAATGAATGACAAAAAACTGTTGTTGTTGATAATCCACAAATTTAATTAATTTTTTGTTTTTTTTTGTTCACCACTTTTGACAGCAACATTTGACATTCGCAGAGAGAGAGAGAGAGAAATATAAACAAACAAAAAATTTTCAATTGTAAAGCATCCATCATCATCATTCTTTTGCATCCTTCATCCGCATCATAATGTTTTTTTTTCATCGTCTGATATTTAATTAATTAATTAAGAATATGAATGTGTTGAAACATATTTTGAAATATATATACCCAGAATGAGAGAAGGGGGTTAAATGAATTTATTATTATGAAAAATAGTAATAATAAGCATCATCATCATTGGGCATTGATTGTGTGTGTGTGTGTGTATGTCAAAGACAAAGACAAAATTCTTTTCTTCATTAGGTTTTTTTTGAGGGGGAGAGGAGGGGGTTAACGGATCGATATAACACCAACATTGTGTGTGTAACAATTAACCAGAAAAAAATGAAACACCATTGTGTGTGACTGACTGAAATGACTGAATGAAAATGACTGGCATTGACATCTAGCACATATCTCTAGCGCACGACATGGATTCTGCTGAATTCTGTATTCTGCTGATGCTGCTGCTGTTCGGGCTTGAAAAAATCAAAAGAATTTGCTACTAATTGTTTCTATATAGACAGAAAAAAAACTTTTGATTGTGTGTTGAGGTTAAATTAATTTCGAAACAAACAAAAACGAAAAACTAAAATTCTGATTCTGATTCTGCAGAATCTGATCATCATATCACACACACACACATACATAGTTTGACAATGATGATGTTTTGTTATTGACATTTTTTTTTTGTTTGTTATTGTGCGTTTCATTTGTTTTAGCATCACTCTCTACTTTCTCGCATCTGCAAAAGAATTCAATGAGATCCATATATATAATGAATGACAATGAAAAAAGAGCCACACACACACACATGACAATCAAAACAACAATGAAAATTGATAAAAAAGAATAACCAATCTGTTGTTGTTGTTGTTGTTGTTGATTCAATTTAATTATAATCAGGATTTTTTTCTGTTTTTTTGTTTTTGTTTTTTAAACAATAAAAAAAAATGGATGCGTGTGTGTGTGTGTGTGTTTCAAACATATCTTCTTCTTCTTCTTTTTCGTATGATGTGATGACAAACAAATTTTGAAAAAAAAATTTTTCAAAGTTTGCATTTTTTCCTTTCTCTCGCTGTGTGTGTGTGTGTTTTTTATGTGTATTTAGGTTCCAGCTTTGTTTGTTTGTTTGTTTGTGATTTGATCGGGTTATCTGTGCAAAAACGGGTGTTTTGTTTTTTTTTTCTTTGGTGAAAAAAAAATCCAATGAATATTGTTAGTAAAAGTAGAAAGCAGAAAAAAATGCCTAAATAAACAGAAAAATTCTGTTTGTTTGTTTTGTTTTGTTTCATTCGCAATGTTTATTTGGAAAATCAAATTTTCGTTAACCCCCCCTCATCTCCTTCTTTTGGGAATATTCTTCAATCAGCTTCTTCATCCGATGATGATGATGATGATGATGATGTTGATGATGATGCTGATTCGGATGATGGTGATGGTAATGGTGATTGCGATGATGATAATGATCGTGATATTGATGATAATCGTGATGGTGATTGTTGCTGTCCGGTTGTTGTTGTTGTTGTTATCGATGCTTGTTGTTGTTGTTGCTGTCCAGTTGCGCTTGTTGTTGTTGTTGGTGTCGGTGGTGTAGGCGGTAACGATGACAATGATGTTGATGGTGGTGGTGATGAAGATTTACCATTGTTATTTGCTTGTTGTTGTTGTGATTGATTATTTTGATTGGTCAATGACCCATTATTATTATCATTATTTGATGATAATGATGAGTTATTATTATTGTTGACTGTTTGTTGTTGTTGTTGTTGTTGTGGACTATATTGTTGTTGTTGTTCTTGTTTGTTGTTGTTGTTGTTATTTGATGATATATTATTATTATGACTGCCCATTTGGGTTGTCGTTGTTGTTGTTGATGATAAACTTGTCATTGTTGTTGTCGGTGGCGATGATGATGATGATAATTTTTTACTATTACCATGTTGTTGTTGTTGTTGATGTTGAAGTTCATTTTCTAATTTACGACGAAGTTTACGTTCTTTTTTAAAACGTTTTTGATAAATAACTAAGAGAGAGAGGGGAAAGAAAAGGAAATTTTCCAGGAAAAAATAATTTCGTAAATTTTTCTCAAATTGAATAAAATTTTTTTGTTTACCTCGAATTTTTTGCTCTTCATTCAATTGTTTTTCAACATGTTCACGTAGTTCACGTTCACGATCCAATTGATTTGAATATTCATTACGTATTTCAGCTATTTTAGAAAAGAAAAATGAAATCAAAAAAAGAAAGAATAAAAAATCAGAAAAAAAAAATTTCCAAAACCAAAATTGACAAAACGAAAGCAAAACGAAAAACATTGGAATTTTTCATTACATTCTTTTCATTTCATTTGTTTCTTACATATTTTTCCATTTTCAGTTTAGGAAAAAATATTATGTAAGACACGTACTACCAAAATCACACACTTTAATGTTTCAAAATAGATTCCAATGGGTAACCCTTTTTTCACGTTTTGTTATTAATAATTTTTTTTCACACATCATCATCATAATAATCATTGTTTTTTCATTGCATCATTGAATCGAATATTCATTAAACAAAAAATAATGAAAAAAAATATATTCTCCCTGTTACTAAAATAATATTTTGCCATTTGATAAAGGAATTTTTTTTTTGTTGAAACTTTTGTTATTGTTCCATATTGAAATATGTAGCATTAATTTGAAATATTCGGGTGTGAGAGAGAGTGGAAAGGGTTAGGATTCATATAACCGTAAAAAAGTGATTTAATCCTTTTTTTCTGCCTTTCAAAAAAAATATTTTCTCTCTCCTAACCCGTTGTTGTTGTTGTTGTTTGTGGGTAAGGGTGATTCGGTTGGGAAAGAATCGAAAGAAAGAAAGAATTTCATAAATGAGCATCATGTGAGTCAGGAATCATACAAACAAACAACTCCGGCCATACACACAGAGAAGTCAAAATAGTGTTCATGGATCACGGTAATTTTGGTCAGAAAAAAAACCATATTCAAAAGGATGCGGTTTTTTCTTTGTTTGTTTGCTGTACTGATGATGTTCAGGAATCTTTTTAAAGGATGTGTTTTGTGTTCAGTGTGTGTGTGACTAGAAAAATTTAATTTATTTCGATTCTATTAATTTTTTTTTGTTTGATTAACACTGTGCTACCCTCGTGCATTCATTCACCTCGTGTGTGTGCGGATATTTCATAATTTTTTTTCTGGAAAAAACCACCACCACCACCACCAATACATTTAGTAGTTTTTTTTTGTTATTGCTGATGTTAATTTCCGTATGATTATCATGATGATGATAATCGTTGGATAATAATGAAATGAAATGAATCCAGTCAGAGAATATTAAATTGATAGATCTATCACACTGAACATGGTAGAGAATTTCATTTTTTTCATTCATTCATTCATACGATATGATATGATTCATTTCTCATATGATTATTCATTTCATTTTTCATTACAAAAGAGTTTAATTATCTTTTTTTTTTTTTTGCTTTTCTTCTTCATCATTATTCTTATTCTGTGATGAATTGATTTTCTGTTCTCCTGTTTTGTTTTCATTCATTTGATTCTTTGTTTCTCATCCATTCATTCATTCAGTTTGAAATGTGATTCCATTTTTTTTAATATTCCAGAATAGAGATGGATTTTTTTTTGCAAAGTATCAAACCAAAGATGAATTAGCAATGGCAAAAAAAAAAGATTCATTCGTTTAATACAGAGTTACTCGTGTGTCCATAATCCACATTTTGAATAATAATCATCATTGATGATGGTGGAGAAGAAACGAAAGAAAAGAAAGAATCCCGAATTATCATCATCATCATAAATATTAATAATTGACTGTTTTTTCCATTCACACTATCTGTTTTTTTAAATATTTTTCAAAAAAAAAAAAAAATTAATCGCTCACACACACACCGTGGACTGCAGAACTAAACAAAACAAAAAATGAAAGAAAGAAAAAAAAAACGATGTGTGTGCCATTTGAAGATAATAAAAAAAATTTTGATTTAATTTATTCATTCATTTTTTTACTAAAAAAATTAAAATTCATAGTCGAGTGAGGTTAGGTTGATGACCATGACTATGATTCATAGTCGAGTGAGGTTAGGTTAGGCTGATGATGATAGTGAAAATTTTTTTTTCTTACAAAACTTAAACTAACCTTTTTGCATTTGAAGTTGTGCTTGTTGTTGTCTAGCATTATGTGCTGCAATTGCTAATAAACCTTCAATATTTCGTAATAATGTTTCTAGACAATGTTCCGGTTGTTGTTGTTGCTGCTGCTGTTGTTGCAATGATTGATTCAATAATTGTTGTATAGCAACATTTTGTTGATGATTCAATGTTGATGATGNTAGTCGAGTGAGGTTAGGTTGATGACCATGACTATGTGATTCATAGTTGAGTGAGGTTAGGTTAGGTTGATGATAGTGAAAATTTTTTTTTCTTACAAAACTTAAACTAACCTTTTTGCATTTGAAGTTGTGCTTGTTGTTGTCTAGCATTATGTGCTGCAATTGCTAATAAACCTTCAATATTTCGTAATAATGTTTCTAGACAATGTTCCGGTTGTTGTTGTTGCTGCTGCTGTTGTTGCAATGATTGATTCAATAATTGTTGTATAGCAACATTTTGTTGATGATTCAATGTTGATGATGATGATGAATGTCCAATTGTTGATGTTGCAGTGGCTGCTGTTTCGGCAATTGCTTCTGATCCATTTGGAATCGATGATGATTCAATTGTTGAATCATCATTATTTTGATTATTTGAATTACGATTATTATTATGATGATCAAATGAATAATTTCTTCTGGTTAAACCATTGTTTCCGATTCCTATTCAAAAAAAAATTGAAAATTGAAAATTGCAGCAAAAAAATTGCAGCAATCACACTGCAATTAAATTCTTACCATTAAAATTTGTTGAAATATTTTGATTATCACCACCATTACCATCAACAACACTATGATTACTATCGATATCATCATCATCTCTATCTCTATTATCATCATTATCGGTTGTATCGGCATCTTCATCATCATCTTCATTATTGTAATTTTTCATCAATCTTTTTGTTGATCTTGATGATGATGATAATGATTGTTGACCATGAGTGTTATTTTTTAAACCACCATTGATCATTGATGATTTCATTTCTAAATCAGATTTATCAATAACAGTACGATTTTTCGAATGATGATTATGATGATATTGATTATGATGATGATCCATTCGGCTATTTCTACCGATTGTTTGATGATGATTTCCATTTCCATTATCATCATTATGAATTGCTGTTGTTGATGATAAATTGTTTGCAATCAATGATTGTGATTTTTCATTGATTAGATCAACATTGCCATTATTGATGATAGAGTTTTTCATATCAAATAATGATGAAGTTCCATTGAAAAAATTATTAGCCGCTGCTTGTAAACTATCGATACCGGTAGTAGTGGTGGTCAATGAAGAATTACGATTAGTTAGATTTAATGCAGCAGCTGCGGCTGCTGCTGCTGCAGCATTTGCAGGTAAATGTTGTTGCTGCTGTTGTTGTTGTTGCGATAATAGCCATAAATATGCTGCTGTTGGATTAAAATCTGCAGCGGCTGCAGCTGCAGCAGCCGCTGCTGCAATTGCTTGTTGTTGTTGCTGTTGTTGATTATCCAATATTGTTCCAGGAATTGATGATGATGTTGTTGCTGCTGCAATTGTTGATGATGATGATATTGTTGGTGATAAATTTGAAACAATTCCATCCAAATTGCGATTTCCACCATTATTCAATGATGATAATGAACCAAATGAATTATTTCCGATTCCTGTTGTTGCTGCTGCTGTCGACGATGATGGTGATGATGATGAATAATGTTGCTGATGATGATGATGTGAATTAATAATACCTGATGGTGTTGGACTACTACCACTATTATTATTATTATTATTACCGAATCTATTTTGACAGAAAACGAAAAAGCAAAAAACACCGAAAAACAAAAAATTAATTAATTAATCCTTCAGCATAACTAATTATTTGATATTTGAGGGAAACGAAAAAAAGGGGTAATCATCTTTCATATATCTTGTTTGTTGCAGTCAATATGTCATATCTGCTTCTTCCACCACCACCAAGTGAAAAAATTCAAATCTTGAAACAAGAAAAACAGCTGAAGCAAAAAAAATTTGCATAGAAAAACCATTATCCAAAACAGCAAACGATGAAGGATTATCATTTTTATTTTTTTTGCTGCTGTGTTGCTGTTTTATCATCACCATCGAAATGATCATCACGATGATGATGATGATCCACCATTACAAAAAAAAATGAATATTAAAAAAAACAGGCAATAAATCTATAATGCGTGCCTTTTTTTTCATTCTTCTGTTGTCTATTTTGACATTTATCCAGGGGGAAAGGCTATTTTAACCCGAAAAAAGTTTTACGAAAAAACAAAACGTGACATTTGAACGAGTGTGTTTCTGGAACACAACACTCAGTTGGCGGTGTTTGGTTCAAATTGGTATTTGTCAAAAATAATGTTGCAGCAGCAAAAGCAAATTGATGCTTTAAAAAATAAATGTTTTATTTGATGCTTTAAAAAATAAATGTTTTATTTGATTTGACTATGTGTGTGTGTGTGTGTGTTTGTGCAATGATAACAACAACAAAAACACTGACACTGAGATAGAGAAATAGATCACTTATATGACCAAATAATAATAATAATATCCGTAACCAAAATGGATCATCATGATTTTTTTGACTGTTAAAGTAAATAAAAACTTTACGTTTTTCTAGTATCATCCTCATCACATTGTTTTAAATCATATTAAAATCAAAAGAAGAACTGACTGGCTGGTTATCTGGCAAAATGGTTTTTTTCTATTCCTTTCATTGAATTAAATGATGGAAATAAAATATATTTGGCTGAATCTCATTCTCTGTGTTTGTTTGTTTGTTCAAGTGATTTTCTCGATTGAAATTGAAAACAAAAATCTTTTACAAAATCAAGATTCTTCTTTGGTGACGTTTTTTTTAATGACCAAAAAATATTGCTTGTAAAATTCAATGAAATGAAATAAAATTTATAAGATCTGGGCTTCTGGATTTGCAACAACAACGAACAACGAACAAGGAAGTCATAAAAATTGCTGCAACGAAAAACAAATTGAAAGCAATTTGAAAATAACAAATTCAATCTGTCAGTCTGTGTGCTTTATGGATAACACAACAGAATTTTTTTTTTTTAATCTTTGTTGTTCATCATCATTATCATTTTAATGACTAAAAACAGAGAAAGAGAAAAATGTTCATTTCCAGTAATGTTTTGTTTGTTTGTTTTTGTTTGATTTTACTGGCTTTAAAATCTAAAAATCTTTTTGGTCACACATAAATCAATCCGAGAATCGGAAAAGTTTCCAAAAAAAAATTTTCGATTCGAATTGAGTGTGCGCAATTTGATGATTTGTGATTCGAATATCTGGTCTGGATTGAATATTTTTCATTGCTGCTGTTTTTGAAATGTAATTCACCAAAAAAGAGAAAAAGACAAATTGATGGAAAACATTGTTTTTTTTTTGCCGTGAATTTACGAAAAGCATCTCTGTGTTTTTGTTTGTTGTGAATATCCGATTTTTGTGATGAATCTTTAGCCCAAAAAAACAAAATGCAAACGAGAGAAAAAAACAACAACAGAAACTTAAATGATTGATCAGTTTTTTTGTTGTTGCAATATCAAATTGATTACAGAAGAAAATTACTTCTTGTTGTTTGGAATCATTACTTGTAATTTGTTGTTGGTTGTTTTGTTGTTACTCATTATTATTGATGTTGCGGATGTTTTCAACACAAAACCGAAAAAAAAGATCGATACATCTTCGGTATTTTTGTTTTCAATAATATTTGATTGCGTGCCATCATTCATTCGAATGAATGAATGAATGATGGCACCAACGATTGATTTCAATTTGTAGAAACATAGAGAGAGAGAGAGAGAACGAGAAATCAATTTGTCTATTAAATTATCATTAGTTGTGTGTCCAGCAAAAAACTTTTTTTCCATTTCGCTACATCTAAGGTGTCGGGATAAATTTTGGTTTTTTTTCCTATTTCTGGTTTCTTCAGTGATGCATTACACATACACACACATTAAATTCATATTATTTTATCGTTTTTCTTCCCGTCATTTCAAGCCAAGTCAATCAAAAAAAAAAAAAAAACTGGAAAAAATAATATTGATCACCACCACTTCGTATGATAAACATTAGCTAAATTGGAAAACTAACTAACCACCAACCAACAACAGAAATAAAGATATATATTTTCTGACCACAATTACTTGTTTTTTTTGGGGGGTGAAATCGACTATTTCAACTCCACCATCATCAACTATTTTGACATCATCATCATCATCTAATGCATCATCATTACATTATTATTATTATTATAAATATTTGAATGTATCAATAATAATCATTGTTAGAACAAATATCCAACAAAAAAAACCACAAAATTGATCGCGTGTACAATGTAGATAATGTTGATATCGATGATGTTGATGATGAATCGTGTATAAATTTTTTTCATTATGATTCCTATGTTGTTTTTTGCATTCGAAATTGAATTGAAATGAAATTGAAAAAAAAATTGAAAATCAAATCAATCAATCAATCAATCAATGAGAAGCAAGTTAAAGATAAGCAAAGCAAATCATAATGGGATGTAATTGAAAAGAAACGAAACAAAGCGAAGCAAACCACAAAGCAAAGCAAGCAAGAGAATTGATTCGGCAAAATTACAAAGTTTTTCGTGTTTCAGATATATCATTGTGCGTGTGTGTGTGTGAAATAACATCTTAATAACAAGATTGATGTGAATGATAATAAAGATGTTATCATGCTACAATGACTGGGAAAAAGTGTCAATTAATAAACATTGAAAGATGAATTTCAAAGATGAATTTCTCTTCATTTCTCTTCATAGCATCCAATAATTATGACATTTGAAGAATTAAAAAACAAAATTCGTGAATTCAATTCTCGATGATCATGGTGATGATGATGATGAATCAATTTTTTATAATTCAATTTCAGCAGAAAAAAATTCGTGCATCAATTGATTGAATTGATTGAATTATAGCGTGACTTTTTTTTGGAAAAAACCAGAGAAAAACTCTGAAAAATTGAAAAATCTGATCATCAAGAAGATTCCCGAGATTGAAAAAATGATGCAATTTTTATTCTCATTTTAATTATTGCATCATCATCAATGAGATAAACACACACACACACACACACACACACACATGGTCAATGTTTTTTTCAAAACATATGTGTTTTGTGTGTTTGATCTGTCAATGGACATTTTTTTTCCATAATGTCCATTGATTTATAAAATATGGATTTTGGAAAAAAGTTTTGACCTTTTTGCTGAATTTAATGACCCAAAAAAATTGTCTGACCACCACCCTCGAAATTATTCAAATTTTAACCAAAAAAGAATTTGTCATCTAACCCTGTGTGCGTCATCTAATGATGATGATAATCTAATAATTTTCGCCAATCGATATTGTTGTTGTTAAAAGTGTCTTTGATTACAACAACAACAACAACAATCATTATCAAAGACTTTCTTTTTTTCATTTGGCAAGTTAATTTACTTGGACAGAATGATTGATTACTTTTTCTCGTTTTCTATTCATTTCAGTTTCACATAATGGGTGACAAAGACATTTTCCTTTATATGATTTCGGGTTGATTTGGAAAGAAGAAAAAGAAGAAATTTGAGAGCTTCGAAGTAATCAAGGAGACCAAAAAAGCGCTTTCGTTTGTATTCGGAACATTCGGAAAAAAAATCCTGATAAAAAAAGCAAGGATCTTAACATCAACGAACGATAAAGAAACAATAGGCCAGTAAAAGATCTTTTTGATTCATTCATATGACAGGACAGAAAGTAGTGGAAATAGGAAACAAACGAACAAACGAAAAAGCAATGAACGACGATTGTTGTTGTTTGAATTTGAAATCCAAAAAGCAATTAATCATTCTAGTTAGTTGACAGAATGGGTGATATGAGATGAGGGGGAGAGAAGAAGGGAGAGATGATCATTGATGATGGTGGCATAGTTCACCAAACCGATTGATTATTGAAGATTGGAGATGCAAATGAAAACTTTTTATTTTGAATTTTATCTTTGAAAATTTTTTTTTCCAAAATTCAATCGAAATTCCAAATTGATAAAAAGAATTCATCCTTTTTTTGAAAGAAAGAGAAAGATTACCGAAATGTTTAGCTGTCCGGGAAGTTTCTCACAATTTCTATCCCCCTATCTTTTTTTTTTTTTTTTTTTTTGATTAACAAATGATGATAATGTATTTTAGACGAAGATGTAATGAAAACGTAATTACATCACAAAAAAAAACGTAGTGATGGTAGTGGTAGAAATAGTCGTTTTTTTTTAATCGTTTGAAAGTTGATGTATGCATGGTCTTAACGCGTTCGCTACCAGCGACGCATATATGCGTCGTTTATTTGCTGTAGTTCTATGTGTTTTTCGAAATCTCCGGTAGCGAACGCGTTAATATATTTGTTATATTCAAATGAATGAAAAAATTTAAACAAAAAAAAANGTTTGTATTCGGAACATTCGGAAAAAAAATCCTGATAAAAAAAGCAAGGATCTTAACATCAACGAACGATAAAGAAACAATAGGCCAGTAAAAGATCTTTTTGATTCATTCATATGACAGGACAGAAAGTAGTGGAAATAGGAAACAAACGAAAAAAGCGATGAAAAAGCAATGAACGACGATTGTTGTTGTTGTTTGAATTTGAAATCAAAAAAAAAAGCAATTAATCATTCTAGTTAGTTGACAGAATGGGTGATATGAGATGAGAGGGGGGAAAGAATGAAAAGAGATGATCATTGATGATGGTGTGGTAGCATAGTTCATCCGATTGATTATTGAAGATTGAAGATGCAAATGTTTTTTGAAAATTTTATCTTTGAAAAAAAAATTTTTCCCAAAAAAATTCAATTGTTTAGTTGAAAAATTTCCCGAAAAATTTCTCATTTTTAATCCCCTCCTATATCCTCTTGATTATCAAATGATGATGTATTTTAGAACGAAGATGTAATGAAAACGTAATTACATCACCATAGAAAAAAACGTAGTGATGATGGTAGAAATAGTCGTTTTTTTTTGAATCGTTTGAAAGTTGATGTATGCATGGTCTTAATATATTTGTTATATTCAAATGAATGAAAAAATTTAAACAAAAAAAAAAGTGAAACGAATTCGTCGTTCCAGAAAAAAACCGATCATTCATCAACCCTCAATCATTCATCGTGGATCAAAAATGGATCCACAACCAACGAATGAAAGAAACCTAGCAATTAAAATTATTCAAATATTTTGCTGCTGCTGCTCATTTGATGATGAATGTTTTTTGCTTTATGCAAGGCTGATATTGTCGTTTTTTCTGGTTTGATTGATTAGGGTTAGTTGATGTGTATATATAGCGGTACACAATGATGATGATGATGATCGGATGATAATTGGAAATGAATTTTTACGAATTTTCATTGAGCATAATGGCTGCACCTTTTTTTCTGATTTAAATGAATGAATTTTTTAGAAAAAAAATTATCAAATTTCCAAAAATGAAAACATTTTCTCTGATTATCGTTGTTGAAAACAGATCGAAAAATTCATTTAAAAACTGGAGAAATTTCCCCAGGATTTTCATTTTTGTCTAAATGAATGAAAAGTTTTTTTTTGCCAGAATAACGAATGTGTTTTTAATTAGATCGTATAACAACACTATTACCACCCAACAATACTTGTGTGTAGTTTGCCAACAACAAAAAAAAATTTAAAAAAAAAACGAAAAGATTTCTGTTTCATTCGAGATAAAGTTTTTTTTTCTTTTTTGTTAATTCATTTCATCACTGACGTTCATTTTGATTTTCGGTGAAAAAAATTGTGTTTAGGATAATTAAACGGATACGGTAGATGTGTCACACACACACAGAATCACAGAATTTTTTTTATACAGTTTTTTTCTAGAATCCATCCATAATATCCGTAGTAGTGTATGTCGCATAGAATTATTCTCTCTCTCTCTCTCTCTCTCTCTCTCTCTCTCTCTCTC